AAACATGGAGGCTACAGATGTAAGCGTTTACAGTTTAATTCTGAAGTTATTGTGCAGTGGAAGCAGATGATTGTGGAAGCAGATGATGAGAAGAATGAAGAGAAAGAGAGACGATGGTTCTGTACAGAGTTTGAAGTGGTGGGATTGTGACTTGAGTGGCTTCAATAAAACAGATTTCATCCAATATTTCAGGCTGCAAGAGCTACTTTCAACTACAGTGGTGAAAATAAAACCTCCTTGGTGGCGGTGATGAAGAGCAACAGGATAGAGAGAAAAAAAGCAGAAATTCAAAGATAACTAGCAGGTATTTGCATTGTTACGAGGCGTCTTAAAGATAAGAGTGATTTAAGTGGACAGCCGCCCTTATAAGGGTTTATGTTGCAGTGTTTGTTGAACCGTGTCCTGTGCTGTTAAGTTACTGAACAAGACGCCAACAGCGAGTTGCCAAGTGCTTGGTGATGAGGGTCACATAGGTTCTCCTGTCACCCTGAATGTTTATTCTGCTGCCATGTCCTTGAGCAAGACACCAAATCCTTATCAGCTCAGGAGTTTGCATCATTTATCTGACACTGGTGCAGGGGTAAAAATAATGCATTTGCAAAGAAAAAGAAAACAAGAGTCAAACAGAGCTTTCACTCATATTGTCTCACATTATGGTTAATCTGTATTCAAACATGACATAACTCAATAAGAACATCTAATATTTCCAGAAAGCTTTATCTTATCGGCTTCACACCTGGCATGTGTGTTTCTTTGGGCCCAAGGAAGTACAGTGTTGAATTTGGTGCAATATGGACCAGTGATATGTTCAATATTAATAAACTATTAAACAGCTCAATTACTTGCAGGTCACTTTTTCTGTTTCATACACAAAGCTTCAACCAGCATCACTACAGGCCAAGAAAACAGCCCACTCCAAACAAGCAGGTTTAAAACAGGAACTGCACTAGTAAGAAATTACATGTCCACCACCCAAAAGATAGAACAGTGCTGCCAACTTTATATTAAAATGGAAAACTGACGAAGACAGTGAAGGTGCACCACACTCACAATCCATTTAACCTTTGAACACACTTCTACAGCTACATGCACTGGACCACAATAGTTAGATAAGAGGCCTCGGCACCAGCTGGTCTTTGCTGCAGTGCCCTCATCTCTCTATAGAGAGTTATGATTGAGAGGTTTTTGAGACATAGTATTTTAAATGCACAGCGCTGCAGTCGAAGCCTTTTCCAGTCAGTCTGCAGGAAGTTCAGTTATGACAGTACAGAGCAAAAGCTGATGTAGAAATTCAATGATAACCTTGGGTGTCTTGAACTGATAAAAAGTATTTCAGAAATAATCAAATGACACAGTTTTATCCAAGAGTTGTGTATCCCTACACTGTAACACTAGACTGTTTCTATGCTTAGCTGTTATCACTGATTATTAATCTGATGTATAAACTCCCACTGTAAAGATTAACTGTGGATTAAACATCGTTATCAGATCGTTACACGACGGAGGCGCTATTGCATGAACGCACTTTAGTAATTTGTTGCAAATTAGTCATTTGTAAGAAATATTCTCAACAGGAAATGTGAAAGGGGGAATCATTATTATAATTAGTTTAGGTCTTGAAAGGTAGGATCAGATTAACTGCTGCTTGTCAGAGCAAACTAAACATTTTCCGCATTAGCAGGCGAGCGGTTAGCTGCCTTCCTCCAGTTGTCAGTTTGGTTTTTCTGAGACGGCTGCAGGAAAGAGAAGAAGGAAATGTGCAACAGTGCAGCAGAGGCTGAATTTAAATTCATCCTGCCACAGTACAGTCTGTAATAGTCCACTCCCACTTCACAGCTCTTGAATCAACAGCTTTACAGCAAAGTCAGATTTATCAGTGTGTGAAATTATGAAATGATGATGCTTGTAACAGATAAATGCTCTAAAATATACAAAATAAATGGTTTTGTCTGTGAAAATATGTCTTGATTTTTGAAATGACAACATTAAAACCAGTAACTGGTGTTTATGCTGTGGCTGGTCATGTGTAATCTTGCCCTTCAGCTTTGTTTAAGTGGTCAGTCGTCATTGCTTCTGCAGAAAAGCCATGCCCTTTGCAGATGTCTCTTATCTTGAGTATGCCGTTATTGTTCAGGCAGCGCTGCTTTTTCATTGTGCCTCTCTCAACTGAATGAGGAAACACGAACAAGGCCTTTTCAGGTCACATCTTTTCATTTCAGGAGGAGACATGAGGAATACATTGGTGTGCTGCATTTATAAATAAATCCACCATGAGACAAAAAAACCCTCTTTTTTGTTTCCAAACAAAAACCTTTTTTTTATAACATATTCACAAACACGAGCATGTTGTCCATCTGATGCTGTTTGTTTTCATTATAAATTACAGGCCAAACAAGCATGTCACTCTGTCATTGCAGCTACTGTGACACTTCAGGCCAACAGAGGAGGACGTGCCCTTGATGTGCTGAAGAGCCAGGAGAAAAAGGGGGCTGATAAAAAAGAGTGTGGGTACGGGGCATTGGGCAGAGGTTAATGCGAGATGAGCGACTCTGCAGGGCAGCATGAGCTGCACAGTATGCTGATGACTGAAGGAGGGAACACATGATATTCAGGGAATATTAGTAATTTATCTTGATAGTGTCGTGAAATCTCAGCCAACAGTTGAGCCGTGAAAGCCTCTTATAAACATCAATTTGCTGTATTCACAACACAAGCATTTATTTTGCTTTGTGCCAAAGCTTTTATCTTTGCTTTATGTGGAATATCACTCTGGTGTTTAGTGTAGAGGACTATAAACGGGGGGATGAGCGAGGATTTTCTCACTTTTCTCACTCATAAGCCTGGATAAGCCCTCATAAATATTACTGTGTTTCACGCATGCTGTTTCCAGTTGTTGCAAATATACTGGCAAAGTTGAGCACGTCCCAAATTCCAAATCCTCCTCTCTAGGTTTTGTAAATAGCAGCCAAAATGCAGCAGCATGTAATTTCTATTCAAATCAATCCAAAACAATGGGGCGACCCCAACATGCATCATTCACAAGCACACTGGACATAGATAAATGGCAGTTTATGTTCAAGATGTAACACATGAATTATTACTGAGGAGCTTTATTTGCTTGTGAGGAAGAATTTGACACAAAGAATCTTGAAAGACAAAAAGAGGGCATACAGGTATCGCCACGTTGGTTGACTGAAGTCCTTGAGCATGAATACACTCTGAGTCAATAATTTATGCACCCAGACACACATTCAAACACACACACATGAAGTGAAAGAGGGAGAGACAGAGAGGGACAGAGAGAGAGGGAAACAGAAGACTGAAAAAGCTTCAGGGACAGAAACAGTCTGAGACTAACAACTGGAAACCATACATATGTCGCCAGATGTGAGATTCTATTTTTTTCTCTGCTTTAAAAGAAGCTGTTTTTTTTTATTTATTTTTTTTACGAAGGATGTCTGACTCATTGTTATTCTATATTGTTGCTCCCCTGATGTAAGCAGGTAGTGGAGGTTTTTTCTTTTGGTGAATGCTTACAGTCATACGCTCTCCTCACACAGCCTGACACATCTCTTCAAGCTTACATAATGCAGATCTGCCCTAATTTCCCCCTCCACAGCAAATCCGGGGTCCTCAAGAAGCTGAGCAACACGACACCATCAGCCTGAGTCAAAGGTCGTTCACATGGGCTGGGCGTCTTATTAAAGTGGACACTCCTCAGAAACAGATCTGCATTTAACAGTCAGGCACAAATGCAACGCAGGAGATGGATTTCCTGCGAGTCCTCTTCGATCTTGTCATAAACAAATTGAACGACATGCAGCATAGCGTGATCACACATCTGTGTAAAAACAGAGGTACAGATGAGATGGTGATGGTACCTCTTGTCCTGGAATATTATCTTTTTTCTGTGTCAGGTAATTGGATGTTTCCATGGATACTGGGTCTCCTGAAACCGCTGTCTGCAAAGAATATGGTTTCTCTCTAAGTGTCTGCTGCCATATATGCATGCAGATGTGTGCATATTGCACAGTTACAACACTAACACATGGAAAATGTTCATATTTGCTACGATGGGTAGCTGGAGATCAAACATTTTGAATTCAAACTTCAGAAACTAAAATTTGGTATAAATGCACAGATTGTGAAAATGCCCCTGGCATGTTCTGCTGCTGCTGTTTGTGCAGATGTTTGAGCACTTTGGGGCATTTTGTAATTATCTAATTTATACACGAGGGAAGTGATCATTTAACTTTTTAGTCAAAATGTCTAACGTGAAAGACATGTGAAACTGAGATAACATACAGTACTTTTAATGCCATCTTCATGTTGATTATATAACTCAGCCCCTCTTGTTATTTTCCATTGGCCTTATTGAAACCAGGGCAATGGATTTATCTGAATATTTGACTCTGAGATTGTAATTTCAGTAAAAAATGCAGATGGAGTTTTTGTGTAGCATTCTTTAAATCTGTCCTCCGTGTGCACTGTGACATGTTATGTATGCACCACACTGAGGGAAAACACAAACAAGGCTATGTCAAATGAATGCATATCTTTTATTCATCAGCTAACAGCTAAAGAAACAACACACTGTAGATATATTTACCCCACATATTCCTTTGTTTTTTTTTTTTGCAATATGACTTTTTGCTTTTCAGAGCCGACATGAGTTGGAAATGCTGATGAAGTGTTCTATTTACAAATAAGAGGTTGACATTGAAATAAAAAATCTGTGTTTCATTTGAAAACCAACAAACAATAGAAAAAAATAAGTAAGACACTGACTGGATCTCTTCCACTTTGCAAATTTAACATTTACTCATGTTCCCAGGATAGTCACATTTCTTTTTGGATTACAAGTATTCACATCCTCTTGGGTGACGAATAAAATGAAATAAAAAAATCTGCATTTTGTCATCAATTACAAAAAGACACCAGAAAGAAATATGAATACAAATTGCTTATATATACACAGTACATACTGTTTCCATTGCACAGTAACCTTCATTCTTACAAATAAAATGTTAAAACTCTTCTCAGAAGCATTTTTCTCTGAATGCAAAGGCAATACATTATTTGCGCTGCATTGATTTGTTATTACCTCCGCCATGAAGATAACCTCTGTATGATTGTGTGTTTGTGAACATGATTATGGAAAAACTACAAAATAGATTTACACTAAACTTGGTGGAAGGATGAAGCATATGCCAGGGAAGATCTCATTAAATTTTTGAATCCAGGAGTATATATTTTCACTTCACACAACATTTTTTTTCAAATTTTCTCCAATAAACCAGGGAATAATTCATGGATCTTGCAGCTTAATTGAATTTCAGGGGACCTTTGGGCCATGGCGGAGGTATATATCATTGTTTAATTACAGCATGAGTTTGGTTACATGAAAAAAGAATAACTTCAGAGCTCAGACTAGTATCCAAATACCAGACACTGTTCTGTATAAAAACGTGTGTATGTGTCTGTGCATGTTTGCAGGTTTAAGTGTTCACCACTAACTTCACAGCGACATATTGATACAAAGCAAGTCCATCACGTTTCATCTCCCAAACCTGTGCAGGTTCACACCATCATGCATCACTTTGTGGATATCATTTCATTTGTTCTGAGGAATTTCCAAAGAGCAGAGACAGGTCAAGTGACAAAATAATCACAGAATGACTGAGAAATGGGAAAGGCAACAAAACAAGACCGTATCCTTGATAAACTCTGTGACTAATGCTGCAGTGTAACACTTGGTGACGTGCTGACAGGGTTCAGATACACCATGTCCGCTAATTAGCTGAGTTAAGATGACAGGCTCAGTGCATAATACTGCATATGATGTGAATTTACGCTGTGTATTAAACTCTCAGGGAAAGTCAAATTTTCTTGGCTTACACTATTGACCCAGAAATTGGTTAGACTGCATTAGGACTGGATGATGTGCTTACTTTCCTTTGGAGCATTGGACATGTTCATGCATAAAGATGACTCCAGTCATTCAGCTGCTGCTATTCATTTGTTGTGCTTTTCAGTCCAACAGCTAAAGCTCTCGCACCCCATGTGTAGCAGCACATATCAATCCCTCCGTAAAAAGAGAGACTGCCAGATTTTATACTACACCACACAGAGAGAAAAGATGAGATGAACAATGCAGAGTTATGGGGCTGTGTTTCTCATTGTTATGCAGTATGTACAAAATCATATCAAGTGTCAGAAAAGCATGAGCTGTGTGGGATTGTCTAAGTATGATCTATATATCTATGCATAGTGCAACATACATTTTTTACCACGTGTTACTTGTTTGTATGCAGTTATCAAACCTACTTCTATGGCTCTATGCACGTGTTACTATGGCGTGCATCTCAGAAAGTGACATCGTCGTTGACCTGTAGCAGTCAATAGTGCATTTTCTTTCCAGAAGAAAAAGGAAAAAAAGAAACAGCCAAAAAAGCTCAATATCTACATTTGTTTGTATAAAAGTATGCAGTCATTTAAAATATGTATACATAAGCCTGAGGCTCACATACAATTTAAACGTTTTTTAAATTCAGACACAGGAGTATGGGAAGTATTTGACTCTTATTGTATTGTAAATGTGATCCGATTTATTGTAACTGGAGGACAGTTGCAGCCAGATATAATAAAGGGATCATGTTGTAATGGGTTTAATATAACACAGGATAGTGTTTTCATGTTCTCTTTTGGGTGTCAAAGTTTGCATAAGCTGATCAGCTGATTCCTGTAGTACTTTGGTAGTGGCACGAATGAAGACCCTCATTATACGTCATGAATTATAAACAGCAAGTGTGTTTTCAGGCTGCGTGTTCATGTAAAGTTGACATATGGTGCACACTGACAGTTAAAGCTTATTTTCTTTCTGTTTGGATAATCTTTTTGTTACAATATTTCCATGTACGGCTACAATACTGATGTTTGAGCCAATACAACACGTGTCTATAATCCAAAAGTGCAGGAGATGTGGAGGGAGGCTCACAGGGGAACACCACTGATTTTCACAGATTACCCTGTAGTATAGGCAGCAGGTTGCTTAGGTTTATTTTTAGCATACATTAATTATTCTTGTCCAAATCTGCAAACACGAGAGCACAAGAGATTTACTGGCCTCATAAGCTGTGATATGAGATAATACATTTGAATATGCTGCATGATCTCATGGTTATAATGTTATGATCCCAGAGCTGTGGGAATAAATACCTCTGTAAATGACTGGAGCACAATACAACGTCACAGGATGCGTGGGCACACCAGACTTTTGTTTACACCTACACTCTGGTCACAGATAGATTTACTTGCAGAATTAATTTGTTTTAGTCTCATGTGTGAGTTTCATCTTGAATAAATTTGGGGAGAAAAAAAAAAAGAGTCTTGGAGTCATGCACATGTTTGCAACACAAACCTGGTTTATTTTGGGAAGAGAACACGCTTCATTGAGACTTTAGAAATGCAGCTAATTTTACTGGTAAAAGCTTCAGTCTCACATCAAGTCAATGAAGCGGCTCCGGGATGTATTTTATGATGGGTTGAGTCATTCGAAATTTGTGAATGTGGTTGTTTACGAATCAGAGACGAAAATAACTTAACAGACATTGCAAGGTGCAAAGCGAACAAACAAAAAAAAGCCTCCACACTTATGCCACTCTGGGCCACAGAATATTTGATGAATTAAAGAACGTTTAGATCCAGAGTGGGATCTTCATCAGGTCCTCTCATGATGTTGTGGCATAAGTGTACAGGCTCTTCTTTGTTTTTGTTTATGAATCATAACCAAAATGTTAAAACAGCTCAGTTATGAAGTGTGATAAAGTTAGGCTTTAAAATGAGTAGTGTTCCCCTTTCAATTTTGTGAAGCACGATTCCCAGAAATGCATACTTTTAATGTTCTGTCATAATAAAGTTGAGAAAGTTGTTATGCCAGTCTCTTTAAACATGGTTTCCTGATTAAAATGGATCCATTGCTTCAATGCATCCACGATGACCATCAGGGGTTAAGTCTCTTAGAACTGTGTGAATGTGGTTCTCTTCTCGAGAACCTCAAGGTAATCAGGATCAATGTGGAGCTTTGCTTTAAGCTCCCAGTACTCACTCCTGTTGGGCTCCACATAAACAGTACTTGGTGCTGTGCAATAGAGTATTGTCTGTTGTATTCTCTCTGGCTGCATGTACTGATGCCTTGCATCAAAGTCTGAGGTATACTGACTCGATGCATGCGCTGTGTGCCTGCATGGTAGCGTATTACTGTAGTGTGTGTGCTTGTCAGGCTCATGTGCGTCTCTGTAGTAACATGGGCTGTCTTTGTGAGGCGTGGATGGCTTGTTAAGAGGCTCTGGAGTAGTGGCACTGTATTCTGGGCTTATGACATTACTGACTGCCTCCTCGTCTGTGTTGCCCAGAAAAGTGCTGCTCAACTCATCAAAGTCCCTAAATCCATCCACCGATTTGTTGTCCGTCGGCGTTTGAGCAGCAGTTCTGCATGAGGTGTCTGTGGGAGGTGGGATGTACTCATACACGTGTCCAGCAGACGTTCTGACTTTGGGGATAGATGCCTTTTTGTAAAGGCCATACTCCATGTTGAGAGAGCTGATGCAAGCGTTCATGGAGTTGTTCTGCTCACTCTGATTCTTTTGACGTCTTTTTTTCATCGTCACAAACAATCCTGCAGCCACAAACACAGACACGATGAAAATGAGGAGGAGGGCAAGAATCATCACAGATAAAGGGATGGCACTGTACTGTGTGTCAGAGTCCAGGGATGTTTCTATGGTGATAGTGCTGCCAGGGAAAGACTCCTCAGAGGGTGGGATCATGGAAGCAAGTATATCAGAGTTATTAGGGCAGAAATTAGATGTCTTAATGTATCTCATATCCTCCCCAGCTAGTTTCTTAGGCGAGCCACAGATGACATTGTTTACAACAGTGCCTGTGCTGAGGTGCTCCAGCCACATCTTCAGCTCCAGTATGGTGCAAGAGCAATCCCAGGGATTCTCAAACAAGTCGACTTGCACCAGTGCCATCAGCTGATCCAGCACGCCACTGACTGGCAGGTAGCGCAGGTGGTTGTTGCGAAGATTTAGTCTGGCTAGCGTCAGGCCCTTGAATGTCCCTACTGGTAATGTTTTTAGGAGGTTGTTGTTGAGGAAAAGAAGCTGAAGTTTGGGCACGTGCTGAAAGGTGTCAGGGGAAACCTCTTTGATGACATTGTATTCTAAATATAAGAACTGTAAGGTTTCCAAACCATAAAACATGACAGCTGTGAGACGGTCTATCAAATTCCCGTTGAGGTAAAGTCTTCTCAGATGTGTCAAATCCCCAAACGCTCTGTCGTGTATGCGAGCTATTCGATTGTTGCCAAGGTGAAGCAAATCTAATCCAGTCGACTCAATAAAGTCTGATCGACGCACGACAGGGATGTAATTCCCAGTGAGATACATCTTTTTGGGGTTGTAGGGTTTGGGATTTAAATCAGAAATATGCTCAATCTTTTTCTCCTGGCAGTTCACGTTTAGGCCAAGGTCTGAAATTTGAAGATTGCAGGTGCAGGCAGTCGGGCAGTCTAAAGGCACGGGGGATTTGGTCTGATATGAAATGATTTGTCCATAATTTTGTGGCTTGTTAGATGGGACACGAGCTGTGGGTCTCGCTTTTAATTTGCCAGATTGTCGAGGTGCCTTGGTGGGCCTTGACGAGGACCGTGCGATCCCAGATGAAGTGAAGGAGGCTGTAACTAGACTTGCCGTGGTCCTAAAGTATGCATCACTGCTCAAATGTGGCAGGGGTGGCATCTCATATTCAGCGATGGCTCTCCTCGGGCACAACTCCTGTTTTGAGACCTCATCAACATCTCTGCCGTGGAGCCGAAATGGGAACTCGCAGACGACGTCACCGACCAGAGCCGTGTACGATATGCTCTCCAGCCAGGTTTTGAGGGCGATCAGCTCGCAGGAGCAGTTCCACGGGTTCTCCTCCAGCTGTAGCTCCACAACTCCGTTCATGTGCTCCAGCAGACCTGAGTAGGGGAGCACTTTGAGCTGATTCCCCCTCAAGTCCAAATGAGTCAACGGCACGTGCTGGAAAATATTCACTGGCAGAGTTGATATCAAGTTGTCATTCAGAATCAGGACCTCCAGATGTCGCAGCCTGCTGAAGGCGTTGGGTGCCACATGAGTGATATAATTATAATCAAGTTGTAGATATTCCAAACTTTCAAGGCCAAAGAAAAGCTCTTCCTTCAAGGCATCAATTTTGTTATTGTTCAAATGCAAGCGCTTTAATCCCTGAAGTCCATTAAAAGCTCCTGCTTCAACCTCAGATATGTCGTTATTTCCCAGATGCAATATTGTAAGTCCTTTGTACTCGACGAGATCATTGGCAGACAGCTTTTTCAGCAGATTCCCTGTAAGCAGCAGATGATACTGGGAGAAGTACACCGGGCTTACGTCTGCGAGACTCACAATTCCTCTGTTTTCACAGCTCACTGTAAGTATCCCCTCTCTCTCCTCACAGGCACACAGTCTTTGACACATCTCTCCATAACTGCCAAACATGTCAGCCGTGCACACTGACGCTGCACTTAGCAAAAAATATGAAATCCAGGGATGCATTTTTCTGCAAAGAGGGGTTTGCCGAGCTCACCTGCTATAGGTATATCCTCAATGTCATCTAGAAATAAAAGACACATCAGCAAATGAATGCAATGGGAACAAAAAAACTTCCACAAAACAAGCTGTGTATATGCATATGTATGCCTGCATGAGTCAAGACTTAATTTGCCTTTTTGATACCCAGAGGTAACTTTCTGGCTGCGTGATCTAAAATGGCTCAAACAAATAAAGATAGGAAGCAACTCCTTGCAGCTATGGAGCAGAAAGCAAGGTCAAAGCAAGAAACAGAACAATTGTCTAAATCCGCTGTGAGGCGGAGAAGACACATTGCATCTGCTTGTTGAGACACGAGGAAAACAAAAGCAATTTAAATGCTGCTTTGCATATGAGGCTGCATGCGTGTGAGGTTTGCAGGGATCGTGTCCTCATGGAGGATACGTACCTTTACGCACATTGATGAAAACGTGGGCTCGTTAGGTTTTGGTGCACATCTTTCCTTGTCTTCTTTAAATCCGTTCAAAAAATGGAAACAGGATTCCTTCACCGCGCGCACGGCCGTCGTGTATCTCTAATGTACTTGAGAGGATGAAAGAAACGCTGATCGACCATAACTGCCAAATGCGTCTCTCTTTACACCACCATGCGCGACTGAGCCGGAGGAGACACAGAGATGCCTGGAAACTCAAAGTTACGTACACGTACTCACACACTCTCTCTCTCTCTCTCTCTCTCTCTCTCTCACTCTCTCTGTCTGTGTGTGTGTGTGCCTGTGTGTGTGTGTCTCTCTCTCTCTCTCTCCCTCCCCCTCTCTCTCTGTGGTGAGAGGATGTCAAGTCATTTCATGCACAAATGAATCAGCCCACTGGAGCATCACCACTCCGAGGAGGTGCTTCCCCTAGTCCACCCCCCAGAAGATGTTGACCTACCCACAGAAAACATGAAAAAAATCAAATCAAAAAATAAAATAAAATACACTTATACATCAATAATTGACTTGGCCCCGGCGCGTCAACTCTGTGCGCTCAGACGGTTTGTTAAACCGCTTATCATGTTATTCACTCTGAAAACAAACCCTTCACCGGAACGACAAGTTACATCAGTTTGCAGAATCTGTCAATCCTGCTAGAGAATGTAGCACAGGGGTGGGAGACAGAGAGAGGGAGAGAGAGAGGTTGGGGGAAAGAGAGAGAGGGACGGAGGGGGAGATAGAGAGACTTATAACAAGTTGTGTTGGTTTTCAACTTGACAGGAACCGCTTCCATCTCTGCAACATCGCACAGCTGGTTATTTATTTAGCTTTTTGAATATTTTTACAAGGGGATAATATCATGGACACAATAATCCACTGAATGTAAGTTATAGTCCAATGATATTATAATAATGAACTTTGTATTATAATATACTTTTACATTATTCTGTTATGTTTTGTGGGGAGAGGGTAAGGGAGCAGGTGGACCCAAAAGGCAGAACAAAAAGTGTCCTTTAATGAGGAAGGCAGGGTATAAAAACAAAATCCAAAAGCAACAGTTAACCCAAAATGCTCTTAGGCAAAAACAGGGGAGACACAAGGAAACACTAGAGACTTACTGGAAACAACGACGAGTGGTGAAACGACACAGGGACATGGAACAGCTTCTCATAACAACGAACTGACAAAGACATAGGGAAGCACAAAGACTTAAATACACACTGAACTAATGACAAACTAGAGACAGGTGGCACAGGATGAACAGGTGAAACTGATGAGGGCAGGAAGTCCAGGAGGAAAACACACAAGGAACAGAGACTACAAAATAAAACAGGAAACAGATGAACACAGAGTGGAACACAGGGTGGAACACAGAGTGGGACGCAGAGTGGGACACAGAGTGGGACGCAGAGTGGGACACAGAGTGGGACGCAGAGTGGGACGCAGAGTGGGACACAGAGTGGGACGCAGAGTGGGACGCAGAGTGGGACACAGAAAGGAACAGAGAGGGACACAGGGAGCAAAACTTAAGACACAATTCCAAACATAAGAAAACATAGTCCATAATAGAAATGAAAACTTTCTTTTATAAAAGAGGACTAAAATCACAGGAGACATGACACTATTCATCACAAACATAGTTACAAAGTGCTCTACAATAAGCAAGAGTACAAATTAAATGAAAGCGGAGAGAAATGAATACATTTAAATCAGGGGCAGATCCATGGGCTGAGTCACAGGGGAGCACTGGCCCTAGGTGAAATCTCATTGGCCCCTTAACTGCCCCTGTACTGTCAAATAGTTTTAAAACAAAAAATAGTCACTTACTAACAATAATAACAATGAATATTGAATCAAAAAAGCTTTTTTGAAGTAGAAAATGTGCTTGAGCAAGGAACAATTTTGAAAATATATTCAATAATGTGTGTTGTTCAAAGCTAAAATGCTAACAGTAAACAAGGAATGACCTAAATGTGCACTTAACCGAATCAGAGATTGTGTTTTGACATTTGACTTTATGGCCTCTGATTTTCAGAAAGCTTGGATCTGCCCCTGGATAAAAGAAAGAACAGCTGTCAGGTAGAAGTACGCTTGGAGGTACCCAGCAGCCCCTTTATGAAATCAAATTTAATTTCACATTCACATATATCAGTCCCCTAAACATGCTTTTTGCTAATGCTGATATTTTTCCTCAAGATCCATGATCTCGGAAGCGACCTATTTCACTATGTTAAAGAAAGACTCACCCCCTGATCCGTATCTGCAATAAAATTTAATGTGTTCTTTCCTGATCCGTATCCACATCCTTCTGCCAAGTTTCACGATAATCCAAAAAAAGAGTTTTTGTGCTTACCAACAAACAAACACCAGTGAAAACATAACCTCGTTGGCAGAGGCAATAAACACACAACTCAGATGAAACCAGAAAAGGCTTTTTGGATGAAGTGCATTGTAAGAAGGCACTTAAAAGGTGGCACTGACTCTGCCAGCTGAATCACCTCAGGCAGGTCATTCCAGAGCATCAGGGCCAGCAAAGGCTCAGTCCCCTTTAGTTTTTAACCTAAATAGAGACAGAGCCTGCTTTTATTGAGGTTCTTTTGCCTCCTGAGCAAACTTCTTTATCGTGGACGTCTCACCTAATAAAAAAAATGCTAATCAAGTCACGACAAAAGTCCTTTTTATCTCTAACTTTATCACCTCTGTCAAAGTTCAGAGGTCGGTGGGTGAAAACTGTCACAGTGATCCCATCTCATCTCAGCAGCAGCAGCAGCTCTATCTGGCCTGTGCAGAACCGCCTTAATAATTGTGTCATCCATTTCACATCGGAGCACATGAACACGGTGTGACTGTGCCATGACAGTATGATGTGAATTGATCCACCTGCAGTGCACCAGCAGAGAGAAGTAATACTGGTGAAATGTGTAATATTTACCTCCTGGTTTATTCCTCTTCCTGAGTGTGATATCACGTGTGATGTAAAACCAGGGGTATAATTAAGAGTGAATTATTCATGTCTCTCACAGATGCAGCATGTGAACAATTAGCACATGTTACATAAACAAAATTAGTTTATTGATAGAGGAAAAGGTAAGAAAAATAAAAGAAGAAGACCTGTCATGCTTTTCTCAACACAATGTGGTGGCACTCGTGTGGAAACATGTCAAGTATCATTGAATATAGCCGTGTCCTCGTGGAGCTATATCCATCAACCTCTCCATTTGGCTCCCGCTCACATGGGAGGAGAGCGGGCACATCAGGGACACTGCCTGTGGCTCATATTAAAGTGAATTAAGGCTTCACTCAGGCTACGTGCATTTCATTTATGCTTCTGTTTGCTTTGACTCCAGAGATTTGTGTTGCATATCAGGCTGCACCATCAGCAATGGCTAAACCTCACCATTACACCACTATTTATGCAGGTATTAGCATTTGTGTTTGTTGCAGTAAGAAAATATAGCTTGCTATACGTTATTGCAGAAAGAAAAGCTGACGTCTTTTTGGATCCTGAAATGTTTGCACCTCTGTGCACTGTGACAGTTATGTTTACCCTTCGTCACATCGTGCAGAGGGAGCACAAGGCGCACAGGCGATGCATGATATGAGCCTCATTTAACGTCTCTCCAAGTCTTCCATGACACTGAACATGAGCTTCACCAACTGGGAGCAGAAGACACACACACACACACACACACACACACACACACACACACACACACACACACACACCCACCCACACATGAAGAATCAGCATAACAAATGTCTGGAAGAAAATGATGATGACTAACAGTCATGCGCTCCAAGGTCAGAAATACACAAATGGAGTTGAAGCCATGCCACAGAGGATGATGGGTAGCGGTTCTGATATACGTTCCTTTACAGATGGTGTGCTGCACTTTGTCATCTGTGTCCAGCTGGAGCGTACACGAGGACAATCGGCATCACCCCCTGAACTTTTCTGTCTCTGTCTGGCAGCGACTTCACTTTCAGGGAGCTCACAAGTCTTTGTTGCATCATGTTGTGATGTTACACAACAAAGGGCTAAACAACTACAGTAGCACATTGTGTAAGGATTTTATTTGTGTGACTGTATTAAGTGATTCAGCTTCAGTATACTGTGACGACACTGTAAAGCTGTTACTGTAATATTTTACTAAAACACTTGCGTATACAGCGTCTATTTCATCAGTCAGTTAGCATTAAAATGCGATAGCGTGTTGGGGGTGGTTGGCCTGAGGCAATGCTGTGGGTTGTGGGTTGCGTTCAGTGACGTGGATATACATCGCATGTCGTCTTTTTCTTGTTCTATTTGTTCTGTATTGGTTATAGGATGGGTATTTGGATTTAGTCAATTGATTTGATTGATTTAATAAACATAGTGGATCCTGCAACATCTATGAATTCTTACTTCTGAGAATATTCACTCTATTTCAACACTCAGACAATGGAGGGAGTAAGAAGTAAGTATTCTAATGGTAAGAATAAGTGGATTATTAAGTTGTTATGTAAATACTTGGTTTATACAGAGTGAAAAAAATGTGTAGACAAAACTCACTTCACTGTTCATATAATGATGTACCACATTTTAATATGCTACCAATACAGTAGGTACACGTATATAAAGGCTATGTAAAGGGGCTTTTGCAAAATATTAAAGACCAAAAATTGGGTAAGGGGGAACAGCAATGTCATTTGGGACAGGAAGCTCAAATCTGTAATAATGAGGGATTTATGTTATCAGTTTCTATACAGGAAAATTACACCTAACTAAATCAACCAATCAATCAAATTTTACATGCATAGGTCATATTCACAAATCTCAATGTGGCTCATAGATCTTAACAAGGTGTGACATAATGCCCTTAGCCCTTGACTGCAAATGAAAGATTCCTCTCCCAGAAGTGCGATAGATGTGACAGAGCACATCAACAAAATGAAAACCTACAACATTCATGAGAAAAGACAGCACATCTAACATAGATAGAGAGGAGCAGCAATGTTTTTTTTTTAATGGTATTCACACTAAAGAAAAAGTTTGACAGAGATAAAGGGAGCAGTAATGACAGTTGTAATGATAGCAGAGTATGATATAGTAGTATATGTGGGCAGGAATATCTAAACAATCTGTAGCTGTAATCAGAAACCAAGATCAGATCAGATCCCTCCACGATCCACAATCCATGATCAACGTCCATGTAGCTGCGATCCTGGATCTGCCAATGATAAAGCACAAGGACTCTGGGGAAGATGTCAGTAACATGTTTGATGAGAGTCTTGCAAATACTTGTATTAATCGTGATGAAAAGTAAATGAATATGAAAAGAGAAAGATACACAACCTAATTAATTAGCGTTCTCTGTATTTGCAACTTGCCATACATGCCATGCATTTTGCAGCTGTGTCTAGCTGCACTAGCAGACACCAAGGAGAGGTCTCTTCAAAACGTCAGGGAAATGTTGGGCTGCAAGGGCAGAATGTTGCAGACAGACACTCTGACATGGAAAAGATAATCCTCAAAAAACACTGAGGCTTTTCATGTCAGGGACGCAGAGGCGCTGCGGTGGGCAGAGCAGACACAAAAGAACAGCAAGGACAAGAACTGTTGAAGGAGGAAGACTGAGGACAGACTGCAGCAGGAGAATGTGAGTGAGTTTATGGGGGCATGAAAAACATGACTGGATACAAGAAACCCTAACAGCAGGCAGTCCAAGAACATGCCTCCCAGGGCTTTTTTTTTTCTCCCCCGACCTCCCCCGAGAAGGTGGGGGTGAAATAGATGATGGCCACATCATCAGCCATCATGGACGACACCTCTTATCCTCCGCAAGGATCCAAAAAGTGCCCAGGGCGGCTCCCTCTGTGGTGCGGCTCCATAAATAATGGCACACTATAGCATATTTTTAATCTGCGCTGCCACAAAGTTCTACCATCACCACTGTTCTCAGGAGACCTTATTAATCCCTGAAAATAAAAAACATAATTCTACATAATATCTTGTTTTAGAACCATTAATCTTAGCATTCACTACACTAATCCTCCAGAACAGCTGCTCAAACATATGCTGCTGTTAAATATTGTTGATTTTAGAACAGCTATCTATTTACATTTATCCTCATTTACTTCCCCGCACCCACACGTCTTTAATTCTTCTGTTTTGCTCCCATGC